TAGTATATTGGCTGAAAGCTTCTTGTTCCTAGTAGCTTCTTGTTATTAGTAAGGCCAGGAGCGCCTAGTAGCGTCCTTGCTCCTAGTAGCGATGCCCTTTGTTACTAGTAGCGATGCACTATTGGCTTATGGCTGAGACAATGGAGCACTGAACTGAACTATGTAACTTGCAGGAGAAGACTTTGAGAGATGACATGACAGGGTTCTTTTTCCTTTCCTTTCTTGAGACCTTTAGAATCCTTTAGAGATTTATTTTATCTTATTTTTACAGACCTGTCTTCTTCTTCTTCTTCTTCCTCTTTGCCCTTTCCGGCCTTGTCCAGCCTCGAGGCTGAAGAAGATGCGGAGAAGCTCCAAGCCGCAGCGCGGGACGGTGACACCCGCGCGGTGAAGGTCCAGGCCCCAGAAGCCCCAGAGGTCGAGTTGAACGACAGAAACAAAAAGAACAGCAAAAGAGAAAATACATCGACAAGGAAAAGAAACACATCAAACATATAATAACATATAGGAATAGAGATGAATAGAGACTAGAGTCTAAAGAGTCTAAAGATCCAAAGAATGAAAGATGAGAAACAGAAAAGGAAATAAGTCACTACCATGAAAGCAGGTTGGAGGCCATCGCAGTTTGTTTGTTACGATGTTTTTTGTTTCCTCGAGTTTCAAGTTGAGTCCAAGAGAGGAAGGTTTTCTCGGAACTACCCCGAGCAAGCCGCATTGTATTCCTATGTCTTCTTTGAGAAACAGGCAAGACAAGAAGGGAAGGAAGAAAAAGGGAACGCCAACCGACTTTTAAAGAGAACATCATGAATATACAATATTCACAAGGGATACATTGAGAATGAAAAGGAAAAACGGAAAGGTCTAGAGTCTAAAGGCATAAAGAAAGAGAGGACAAAAGAAGTATACCCTGCGACTCATACCATACGGCCTGTTGGGTTTCAGACCCAAACTTCTCCGTCAAGAATTCTAGTAGCGATGCCCTTTGCTCCTAGTAGCGATGCCAGGAGCCCCTAGTAGCTTCTTGTTACTACATTCTTTTGGAGCTGGATGTAAAGATATGGTGCCCTAGTACAGAGCACAGAGCATTGTGCACCACAAAGGCTTGCAACGAACAGGCACGGCCCTGACTCCGGCCTTGAAGACTCCATCGCAAGCTGAATTCACTTTTAGTGACGTTCTTTTCTTGTTTCTTGGTTTCTAAAAGCGATGGCCTGCCATTCGGAATTGCTCGAACTTGTTCGATCGTGTTCCTCTTAGGCCATCGCCAATGACATGGTCCGACATGGGCGGGTACCCTGAGGCTCCGGGGCCAGGAGGTTTGGCCAAAAGGGACGGAGGTAGGAGCGATCGGAACGGAGCAAAGGGCATCGCTACTAGGAACAAGGACGCTACTAGGAACAGAATTAAAAACAAAAAGAACAGCATGTGTGGTATTGTGTTGTGTTTTGGTGCTTTTCTCTTTCTCTTTAGATTTAAACAGCAAACACTTATGAAAGCTATATATAATTGTATATTTCAAAGCACAGTGCGTCAGAAGATTACCCCTTTCGATCTGGTTCAGAGGGATTGGACGTCGCTACACCTTTCTATTGGCAGAATAAGAATTATTGAAAGCAATCTTTTCTTTTGGATAAAGAACATTATCATTTTTGTTGTCAATAGGCTGGTTATGAAGGGTTATGAAGGACAATGATAATGATTGACGTTTACTTTGTGTACAGTGTACTGTAACCTTTGAAGGGCAAGTATCCGATTCCTTTCCGCAACTCTGACCTATGGCATGGGGTGGTTAACATCACAGAGATGCGTGTTACAGAACTTTTGACATTAGTCTCCACATGGCCTATACTTTCGAGGCCTCGCAAAAGGACACGACACAAACCCATTTTTTTACCTACCGTAACAATGCGCCTGAAATGCATCATTTGTTGGCCACTAGGAACAAGGTCGCTAGTAGGAACAAGGACGCCAGTAGGACATACTGTAATAGCAAGACAGGACATGCACAGAACGACCGGGCTGCAGCAGACCTGTGCAGGAGTCGGCGGCTCATTGGTGAAGCGATGCGCCTAGTGAGCATACGCATTAGGTCTCGTTAGCATATGGTTTCGATCAGAGTATTTACAAAAGAGTGTTCATGCATTTGCAATCTTGTTCATGCCTTAGATACTTTGGGTTTGTTGGAATTGTGAGCCCAAATTTGTGAAGGTTGTCTCAACATGAACCTATGCATGAGCAAGAAGCCTTTGGCGCAGAAAAGGACGTTTGCAAGATGTGCTGCTTGGAAAAGTGGTCATCATTGGATTTAGGGCTTCCCCCCCTCTGAAACTTCGAGGATTAATTCCCTACTCTTTCAATGCTGAAGCTCTCCGGCTACGTCTTCAGGAATTTGGATTGACCAACATCCTGTTCTTCGATTCCTTTCAACTAGACCTCGCCTCATTCTCCGCCTTCTTACAAGACCAACAAGTGCCACGCTAGTAGTAGCAGGTGCCTTACTAGTAGTAACAAGAAGCTATTATTTTAATTTAATTCTAATAGCTTCTTGTTACTACTAGTAAGGCACCTGTTACTACTAGCGTGGCACTTGTTACTAGTAGTAACAATGTTTGCTATTCGTCCGCTCCGACACGGAACGCGTTTCGCGGTGTCTTCCGAAACACGGAGATCCGTGTGTGTCGTCTGCCACTCGAGAGGTGCGACGCAGGAGCTCTCGAAGGCTTGGACCTCGGCCCTTGAGGTCGTTTGTTTTCTCGGTACCGCGGAAAAAGAACGGTCAGACAATGCGAGAAAAAGAGATGATTTTTTGGCCGTTGAGTCTTTTGTTGGGCCGATTTTGACGAGACAACCACAAAGAACGAAACGCAAATGTTCTCTGCTTCGCGTCCATTGAGGTCAGAGTTCCTTTGACTCGCCAAAGTTGTGAGTTGCGCAGTGGAGACCAAATGGATGATCTGCGCTCTTTCCCAGCAAAAGCCTTCCTCCTTCTTCTTTTTGCAAGTCCTTCCGCCGAACGTTCCTCATTTGCCGCATTTCTCGGTGCCGATGCTATGACGCGTGAGAAGAGCCTCTCGTGGTGACAGGGTCAAGCTGCACGCGTGCGAAACTTGAGAAACCGGTGAGAAGATGTAGAGAGAAACTCGTGCTTTCAGTGGAGATGTGGAGAGGAGCCAAAGATAGCCGAAGATTTGCAACAACTACATTACTGGCTATTACTATATGATAAACGAATGACCCAGTCTACCCAAGAGACTGTGAGTGACACGAAGCTATGCAACGTTAAGAGGCAGCAGAGAATGCGTTCATTTGTCAGTTCGTAGCACTAAGGAGTCAACATCAGATAGGCACCGATTCATGTTCAAACTCATGTTCATGCTCGTCGCTATAAGCCCACAGCGAACCAACTTGCAGCAAGTGACAATGTGACATCGCTACTAGGAGCAAGGACGCTGCTAGGGGCTCCTGCATGGCCCTAGAGCGCCCCGTGCTATTCTTGAAAACCGCCACGGCGAGAATGCTGAAAAAGACTCTTCAACCCTCCAAACAGATTGAAACACCTTTTCCAGCTCCATGTGTTCCATTTTCTGTCACCATTGTTTTCTCCATCCAAGTAGCGTTCTTTGCTCCTAGTAGTATGGCCAGGAGCCCCGAACGTAGCGTCCTTGTTCCTAGTAGCGATGCCCTTTGCTCCTAGTAGCGTGGCACTTGTTCCTAGTAGCGAACATTGTTACTACTAGTAAGGCACCTGTTACTACTAGCGTGGCACTTGTTACTACTAGCTACTACTAGCGTTGTCTTCAAAACGCCTTGCCTTTTTGGCTCAAAGGTCTTTGGATCGCCGTTTGGGGAATACGATCGCCCGCGGAACACGCGGCTCCCCTATGCGTTCGGGCGACCCAGTGGACCTCTTTCAAGAGCGACGAGCCGTTTGCCCGAGTGGAAAGAAAACACCTGTTACTAGTAGCGTGGCACTTGTTTCTAATAGCGTCCTTGTTACTACTAGTAAGGCACTTGTTACTAGTAGCGTGGCACTTGTTTTTAATAGCGTCCTTGTTACTACTAGTAAGGCACTTGTTACTAGTAGCGTGGCACTTGTTACTAGTAGCGTCCTTGTTACTACTAGTAAGGCACTTGTTACTAGTAGCGTGGCACTTGTTACTAGTAGCTTCTTGTTCCTACTAGTAAGGCACCTCTTACTAGTAGCGTGGCACTTTGCAAAGAACGAGTTAAACTCAATTAGAACATCTAATGGTTTCTATGAATTGAATATCTATGAATATCTCACTGTTCGTCCATTGCAAACAAACGGAAGAAACACCTTGACCTGGTGTTCCTCAACGTTCCCAACGCAAGGCCGGTGCTGTGGCGATGTCCGAACGTGACCTGGCCGATGCCACTGAGGTGGTCGTTCGCTTTTTGACCGAAGTGGGGGATGGGGGGATGGCAGGGGTTCGCAAGAACCTAGGGACGTAGCGATGCCCTTTGCTCCTAGTAGCGATGCCCTTGTTACTAGTAGCTTCTTGTTCCTGGGTTCTCAAGAACATATATTGACGAGATTTCTCTCACAGACACTTTGAACCTAAGTTGTAGATTTCTCTCAGGATTTGCTTTCTATATGTCCAACTGCGTCACTTCACTTTAGCTCCCTGCACATGCTATTCTCTCTCTCTCTCTCTTTCTCCGCCCGCCAGATCCTGCCAAATCGCTTGTACTGGGTGGCGCTCCATACCGCGCCCAGAGCCAGCCCGAAGGCGCTGACATGCATTTGCTTGGGACGCTGGAAGTACAAAGAACTTTGTGCAACAGAGCAATGTTACTAGGAACAATGTTCGCTACTAGGGGCTCCTGGCATCGCTACTAGGAGCAAGGACGCTACTAGGGGCTCCTGGCCTTACTACTAGGAACAAGAAGCTACTAGTAACAAGTGCATCGCTTGTACTCAGGCGAGCAAAGTTGGTATAACATGTTCTTTTCCGGATCAAAAGGTCGATGAGTATGGATGAGGATTAGTAATTTATACCTGTAAAGTTGTCCTTGCTTACAGGTACAATGATCTCCATGTCCTGTGGACTCCTGTTAATATATGCCTGAACATCGGACAACATAATTCAGGTGCATTTCTTCAGTGTGGATCATGAGTTCATCTATGAGCCTTTCTTCGCAGACTTTGGCACCTTTCCTCAGCGATTTACTGTTTGTTCTTCCAGACCTCCTTGTTCCTAGTAGCGATGCCCTTTGCTCCTAGTAGTAAGGCCAGGAGCCCCTAGTAGCGTCCTTGTTCCTCGATTCCAACGTGCCCGGTTTTGACGAAGTTCTATCCAACGCTACTAGGCTACTAGTAACAAGTGCATCGCTTCCAGTAACAAAGGGCATCGCTACTAGGAGCAAGGATGCTACTAGGGGCTCCTGGCATCGCTACTAGGAGCATCCTTGCTACTAGTAACAAGAAGCTACTAGTAGCTGTCAGAGGTCGTTCTGGCCGTAAGGCGGTTGAACCAGGCCGTTCTGGCCGTTTTCGCATCCAAGGCCCGTTGAACCTCTCAATGGTCTGGAGGTTTTGCAAGCTTCTGGAGGCGATGTGAGCGACCCGTGTTTTCGTTTTGTTTTCAACAGCATAATGTCCATTCGTTCGCTTTCTTTTTTTTGTGTGTTCCATCTATTTTTTGTGTTTCGCCAGAAAAGAGAAAGGTCTAGAGATTCAACCAAACAAAGAAAACAGCAGAAACACATATGTCTTGCCTCTAGCAATTCGCAAAGCAGGGTCAACCCCATGATGCAGTCCGAGGTCCAGCACTCTTGTCCAATCGTTTTTTTGAAGAAACCGCAGATCCGTCATTTTAACGGATTCAACAATTGAACAATCTCCAGACCAAGCCGCGGCACCACACGATACCCTGAATACCAGTACTACAACTTGTAAGAGTTTGCCAAGTGCAAGAATGCTTCGCTGTGTGTCTTTCTTCTTTTACTTGCATTTGTTCCCTTTACTTTTTTCTAAGGCCCTTTAGACGATTCCTTTAGTTCTTAGGCCTTTCTAATTGCAATAACGCTTGTTTATGTTACTTGAAGAAAGCTTCTTTCGGTTCGACCAGAAAGACGCTTCTCAGACTTTGAGTTCTGGAGCCATTCGAACCTGTTAAGAGAGACGTGTTCCGGAAGAGAAGGGACTGAGAGGAAAGAGAAGGTCTAAAGGTCCGAGAAGAGCAGAAAAGAAAGCCAAGAATGCTTCGTTGTGTTGTAAAACATATGCCGGTGGAGGCCATCGCTACTAGGTTGGAGGCCATCGCTCTTAGGGTGGAGGCCATTGCTAGTAAGCTACTTAAGCTTTAGTAGCTACTCGTGTTCAGGGAAACTTCCAGAAGCCACTAGGAGCAAAGGGCATGCTACTAGGAGCGATCGGACGCTACGAACGGAGCAAAAGCGAAACAACGCCGGGCAGAGGTGAAGCTTACGGACACATCGCTGGCGGAGAAGCGGATCATCTACTACTGCTCTCACGATCCCAAGAAACGCGCCAATGCGGCCACGCTCATGTGTGCCTTCCAGGCACGTCACGCTCTGTGATTCATGAGTGATCACGAGCTCAACGGATTTAGTTTGATCTGTCTTGTGAACTTATGTTTCAAATGATGCGCATTTCATATTTCAATACCCACACAAGACACGAACGAGAGCCCTTTTGCTCAGAAAGACAATGCTAAGATGAAGAGAGACGCATGCATTTCCCAGAGACGCATGCCATTTGGCGTCATCGTCCTTGACATGTTGCCAGGTCATAGTCCTTGGAAAGACCGGTGAAGAGGTGTGGGACGTCATGTTTGGACTGATCATATGGTGGCAGAACGCCTTTTCAAGTTACAACACCAGTCTTGGAATTGCTAGTACATGCCAAGAAGACATAGACCTACTTGCAGCTTGTAGCAAGACCCAATCCGGTTCATTGGATGAGGCTCCGTTCGTAGCGTCCGATCGCTCCTAGTAGCGATGCCCTTGAGAGGCCTTCAAGCCCTTCGCGTCGGTCTACCCGCCCTTTCTGCCCTACCGTGATGCCACCTGTGCGGGCACTCAGGGTGACGGAGATCCACGCCACGGTGCGATCTGTGTGGCCTCTGAGCATAGCGATGGCCAACCTGATAGCGATGACGTGGGTCTTAGCATCGCTTCTAGTAACAAGTGCCTTACTAGTAGTAACAAGAAGCTACTAGAAACAAGTGCATCGCTTCTAGTAACAAGTGCCTTACTAGTAGTAACAAGAAGCTACTAGAAACAAGTGCATCGCTTCTAGTAACAAGTGCCTTACTACTAGGAGCAAGAAGCTACTAGGAACAAGTGCATCGCTTCTAGTAACAAGTGCCTTA